GGTGAAAGGCAAGCGTGCTGTCAACTGCACCACCCGACTACCCTAAGTACATGTATCTTTAGAGTTGGGTTCGTTCAGACTTACAAATGCATACTGTTGGCAACTGGATTCTTATTCCTGCATCATGAGTTCATGTAAGTGTAAACACGTCAGGTCGATGAAATCACTCTAAATGCAAAAATAAAACAACTCAAAGGTAAATAATTCGTGTTAAAAAGGTAGACAAAGGTCAATAGCATTGGAATTAATTTTAAAAAAAAGTTTAAAACAAAACACTCAACAGTATTCGGATAGAACAGGTAACAAACGTCATCACAATCGGGGAAAACAGGTGACAAGCGTCATCACAAGGAGGAAAACACAGGTGACAAACGTCATCAGTATTTGAATTACACGTCATCGATATCGAGGTAAATTAAGGTAAATTACGTCTGAGGTAAAACAGGTGACAAACGTAATCTCCATCCGAGAAAGACATTAGAATCATTATCCAGTAAAACATTTAAAAAAAAAAACCGCCATCATTAGTATTTCCGTAAACATTCTACAACTGCCATCCTTAATAGGGCTACACATAAACAATACTTATGCATGCTTTCGAAGTTTATGACGTGTTATTGTGTAACTTGTTGCCAACACCCTTTCAACAAATTCACACTTTGTTCGGTTTTTATTACTTCATATGCTTTTATCGTTATTTTTTTTTTACAATTAATATCGTCGGTGATTTCATAAAGTGTTACGAATTCCTATATGTTGTACAGTAATGTCTTTTTCAGAAAAGCATGTGACACTTTATATTATATTTATTGGGAATTTGTTTGCATACATGCTGCTTCGTTAGACTGTTGGACAGATGATTCGCCTCTCTTTTTATATAAAATATGACAATCTTGATATATGTATCTATATATGTATTTTGTTTTTGTTTTGGGAATGCTTTTCATTAATGTTTATTGACATGAACTTTGATACAGTAACCATTAATTAATCGCTGATCAATTTCAGGCATATGTTATGAGAAAGTTGATATCAAACAATACTGTATAAATTGTAAGACTGTTACACATATAAAAATAATTATTTGATCAAATGCTAGAATATGTCCTTACACTGCTTTGCGATGTTTTCTTTTTCCACAACTTACACAATGAACCAGTCACGAGTTTATAAGTATACAACATGAGTATGACTTAAGTCTATTAGACTGAATTTTTATAAAGTTATAACACTCATAAGACAAAATGAGTAGGTCTTTTGATTCATACTTCAAGGAATTGCCATCGTCTTTATCTTATTTTTCAGCCAAATCCCGGAGTTCTAAGAAGTCCTCCAGTCGCTCAGCAGCACACAAGCGCTCCATGTTTCCGCCAATCACAGAAAAGGTTGCTGAGGAGGAGGCGGAAGCGGAGGAGACCAAACGATCACCGGAGTCGCCTCTCACACACCTGTACTACGGCCTGACATGGAAGAACCGTGAGTGGCCGGAGTTCCTTGGCAGCTGGGCGTTCGTCAATGGCATGAACTCCACAGGTGTGTAATACTGGTCCCCAGACTTACTTACACATTCATTCTTTATTACTTTAAACCTCGCAGTTTATCAGTACAGTTTATATATATGCAATGCAATTAATGATTTGAACAATGATTTTATTTGTACTAAAAGGATATCAACTCTCTGAAAATACTTTTAGTAACTGATTTTTATTTACCTTTTTTCGTTTTATTTTATTTTAGAGAGTGATCTTGGTACGAAGAATAACGTTTAGTTAGTAGGTAGCTATGGTAACACACTCATCATCATCATCAAAATGTTTTGATTGTTTTATTAAAACGCTGTTGATGATTTGCTTTGACTAAACATCGAATACCATCATTTAACTTCGCGCTTAGTCGTCACATGCGTAATAGCATCAAAGCTGGCAGTGTCGCAGAGGTTGCTGCGCTTAGCTAGCTTCAACAATATGGCATATACATAGATATGGTTTGCTTATAAACATAAGACGCTATACTTGTTGCACTATTTTGAAATATAAACTAGCACTGACTCTAGGCCTACTGAAATGTACGTCTTGTTCGGCTTAAGCTTTCGGTATTATCGTTCAGCTTAATGCCATGTGTAGCTGGAAACATGCAATTTTCAATTTATATGCATAACATACATAGGGAATGAATACCCTTGTGTAGATTAAAATAATTACTGTTGGTCTCCATCTCGTGTTGATTTGTCTTACGTCACTTCCGTTTCGTGTTGATGACTGCTGAATGATACATTTACGTCACGTGTAGTTAATATATGTTTTTAAGTGTGTAGATTATGTTTATATGTGTACACTAGGCATATATAATATTTTATAAAGCGTGTAAACTATGTTTATGTAACTAAACGTTGTATAGAGTGTAATTCATGTGAATGTTACACGTTATATGGCGTGTAAATTATATATGTGTCACAGACATTGTTTAGCGTGTAATCCATGTAAGTTGTGTAGGGTGTAATTTATGCAAATGTTACAAGTTGTATAGCGTGTAATCAATATAATGTTATATAGCGTGTAATCCACGATACGTTGTATAGCGTGTAATCTATGTCAATATACCATGTTGTATAGCGTGTAATCTATGTCAATATTACAAGAAGTATAGGGTGTAATCCAAGTAAATGTTAAACGTTTTATAGCGTGTAAATTACGTGTGTGGAACACGTTATACATCGTGTAAAGTATCTATATTTTGTACAATGACACAGTGTAAAGTGTATATATACCATATGATCGCATGGTGTCATTTATATATAAGTTCTAAATGAAGGATGTCAACACTAATATCATGGGATTATTGAACGTTTTGGATGAACATTATAAAATATATGAAAAACTATCAAATATGCTTCTATACTATTTATTCAACATTGATAACACTACAGATATCAAACATAATAACAACCATATATTTGAAAGAAAGGTGTTTCACAGTCTGAACATAAGATATGTGATATCGAGAGCGTAACTTTTAATTTGCAAAGATGATATGTACAATAGTGACGTAAAGTAGCTAGGATCACATCTCTGTCAGTAAAAGGGAGATGACTCCAATTTTCCATATAGCTTTCGGTATGTAGTTCGTTAGTTTAAAAACTTGGTTAGTAGCACTAGATGTTTTCTCTTATTCATCAATAATTTTAAACTGCATGTTGGTGTCATATTTGATTTCTGTAACGTTTAAGCGAACGGTTTCGAGATTAACGAGTTATTGCAAATCATCCAAATAACGAGCTGTACCATTTTTTTTTTATTTTTTTTTTATTTTTTAAAGTTTGAAACAAAACGTTTATCATTTTGTTATGTTAAATGCATTGCAGTGAAATCAATCTTTAACCAAAGTTTTACTTAATGTCTTTATCTAATCTAGTTTTGGCCACGATATGCATGCAATGTCCCGTAAAGATACTATTTTTTCTCATTCATATAAATACATTTGTATATGAAAGCACAATTAATGGTAAGAAAGGGATGAAACATTTCGATGCCGCAATGCGAATATTGTGACGTCCGGTTTTGGTTTCTGAGGTGATTCTGTTAATATGGATTACAGAAAAATATCCTTGTATGTCAAATGGGTGAAGGACAGGGGAATTCCACCCTACCCTACCTACGCCTCTTGGCATGAAAGAGACTTGTACTGTTTCGTGCTTAAATATGAGTCTAAATCATAACTGGTCTTCAAGTACTCTTGGTAATGATGCATATTGTCACACTTGTTTTGTGTTATGTTTCGGGTAAACAAGCCAGATCTATAGCTACACAAGCAAATGATCTCTAACCAATTGTTAGAAAGCTTGGTATCGAAAGGTTTTTTCTCTTCAAAATTAGAGTTTTAAAATTTATCTATAAATCTACAAATATGTTTGCATTGTCGCCAATATCGATAATTCGCTTGACTAAAAAAAAAGGCGTAAAGTTGTCGCTGAGCTAACCACGCTATTCCAGCTTTACCCTGGACAAAAGCTGCAGATTGCAATTTTACTTAAACGTGCTATAAAATCATTTTTGTTTCGTCATTGTGATGATGTACGTGAGTTAATATTCTTTGTCCCTATTCAAAATGAACGTAATTTTATAAAAGATGCGTGTTTCTTAAAAGTACTATTTTTTTATTTTATATTATTATGTATGTTATTTTTAAACGTGACTTTGACCAATCTGATCAATCTTTTATTTTGACGTGAAGGAACAAAATTGTTTTCTATAAAACGGATTTTTTTTTTAATATTTGAGAAATGTTTCACGTTTATAGATCTCATTTTCTTACATGCTGTTTTTTTATAGTAGCACATTCATAATTATAATTATTTTTGTCCTCTGTTTTGTTTTCAGATTTCGATGGAATTAGTGATAGCATTGATGACAATACCGATGAAGATGACGTATTTATGTCTGACGATTCACTTAATGACGCGGGGACTGATTTCGATACGGAAACTGATAACTCGTCACAGCCAGAGAGTGAGGGTTACTATGGAAACAATCGTTACAACAATGACCTTCCGGAAAGTTTAAATGGAGGCATCACGATACCAAACCTGGTATTCGAAAATAAAAATCTTGTTCGGAGTAAGGGACATACTAATTTGTCGTGCTTTACGTCCACTCGACCATTAACGTTCACCAAGGACGAAAACGCCAACAAGAAAATACTTCCGAATGACAGAACTTATCTGTGTAACGATATGCTCAAGTCATCACCTTCCGACCATTGCAATGACTTCAAATCCGAACCGGAAATAGACTCTCCGAAGGGAGGTTACTCCTGTGATAAAACAACAACTGTGGAAGTGGTGTCGCATCCTGATGAAATAAACTGGTTAGCAATATGTTTGATGTCGTCCAGTTCGACATCGTTAGCGTTGTTTCTGGACGTTGCCCCGCACGTATTTATTTTCTCTTTATTGATTGGCCAACTGTTATACATATTAATACGGTTTTTGTTGAATATGGAATGATATGCTGAACATAATTGTCACTGAAAAATGTCCTGTTATATTTGTCAATGCGTTTTTGACATTTATGCAGCATCAACATTAATTTATTACTATGCAATGACGTCAAGGGTTTCATGTGGTAACTGTCCAAATCTAGGCTAACACTGGTAACTATGGTAACAAATCAAACGGTTTCTCATATCAGACTTTTAACATTGTATTTCATTCACTAACATTTATAAAAAAAAAGATGAACTCAATATAACATATTCGATCTGGAAACATGTTTGCTTTTGAAAATGGTCTTGCTAAAATTAATAACGGCTTTTGTTGAAGACTTTCACGTTGTAGATACGAAATTTTAAGGTCGTTTACAGGTTTTTCCTGATCATATTTAACATACGAACACGTTTTGGGGTAATATTAGTAGCAAGAACACTGACTTCTAGACCTACGGTTTCTTTATGTATGGACATTCAGCAAACACTGAAATTTCGTTAGACTTTTTTCAATTTCGATTACGTTTTGCAACAGTATTGAATTTTGAAGAAAGAACAAGATACTCTTCGAGATTAACAGAACTAATATGACGAACATTGCACATCGATTAACATTGATTCTTCTCAATTGTGAGCGCACTCAAAGACTGTTGAATACTCAAGCCTGTATTTGTTCGGGCGTACCGACTGTTTATTGTATAATCTTGTGGTAACGGTATATATACAGCCTAATCAAACAGGACCGTGCTTTGTTGAGTAATTCCATGCTGTCTATCAGAATGTAGTCACATTAGAAAGGTTGGTTGCATTAAAATGATATGCATGTTTACCGCTCAAGGTCTCCGTTTAATGCCAATTAACGTTGTTAAGACTAAACCAGGCATTGTTTGATATGTACTTCCATTTGCGATACTAAGCTGCATACATGTATAGAAAATATTTGGTCATGTGTACAGTATGTGTACAGTATTGTACAGTATGTGTACAGTATGTGTACAGTATGCGTACATTATGTACAGTATGTGTACAGTATGTGTACAGTATGCGTACATTATGTACAGTATGTGTACAGTATGTGTACAGTATGTGTGCAGTATGTGTACAGTATGTGTACAGTATGTGTACATTATGTGTACAGTATGTGTACAGTATGTGTACAGTATTATACAGTATATGTACAGTATTGTACAGTATGTGTACAGTATGTGTACAGTATGTGTACAGTATTATACAGTATGTGTACAGTATGTGTACAGTATGTGTACAGTATGTGTACAGTATTATACAGTATGTGTACAGTATGTGTACAGTATGTGTACAGTATGTGTACAGTATTATACAGTATGTGTACAGTATGTGTACAGTATGTGTACAGTATGTGTACAGTATTATACAGTATGTGTACAGTATGTGTACAGTATGTGTACAGTATGTGTACAGTATTATACAGTATGTGTACAGTATGTGTACAGTATGTGTACAGTATTTTTACAGTATTATACAGTATGTGTACAGTATGTGTACAGTATGTGTACAGTATGTGTACAGTATGTATACAGTATTGTACAGTATGTGTACAGTATGTGTTCAGTATCGTACAGTATGTATACAGTATGTGTACAGTATGTGTACAGTATGTGTACAGTATATGTACAGTATGTGTACAGTATATGTACAGTATGTATACAGTATGTATACAGTATATGTACAGTATATGTACAGTATATGTACAGTATGTATACAGTATATGTACAGTATGTATACAGTATGTATACAGTATATGTATAGTATGTATACAGCATGTGTACAGTATGTGTACATTATGTATACAGTATGTATACAGTATTGTACAGTATGTGTACAGTATGTATACAATATTGTACAGTATGTGTACAGTATGTGTACAGTATGTGTACAGTATGTATACAGTATGTGTATAGTATGTATACAGTATGTGTACAGTATGTATACAGTATTGTACAGTATGTGTATAGTATGTATACAGTATGTGTACAGTCTTGTACATTATGTGTACAGTATGTGTACAGTATGTATACAGTATGTGTACAGAATTATACAGTATGTATACAGTATGTGTACAGTATTGTACAGTATGTGTACAGTATGTATACAGTATGTATACAGTATTGTACAGTATGTGTTCAGTATGTATACAGTATGTGTACAGTATGTGTACAGTATTATGCAGTATGTGTACAGTATGTGTATAGTATGTATACAGTATGTGGACAGGATGTATACAGTATTGTACAGTATGTGTATAGTATGTATTCAGTATGTGTACAGTCTTGTACATTATGTGTACAGTATGTGTACAGTATGTATACAGTATTGTACAGTATGTGTTCAGTATGTATACAGTATGTGTACAGTATGTGTACAGTATGTGTATAGTATGTATTCAGTATGTGTACAGTCTTGTACATTATGTGTACAGTATGTGTACAGTATGTGTACAGTATATGTACAGTATGTATACAGTATGTATACAGTATGTGTACAGTATGTGTACAGTATTATACAGTATCTGTACAGTATTGTACATTATGTGTACAGTATGTGTACAGTATGTGTACAGTATGTGTATAGTATGTATTCAGTATGTGTACAGTCTTGTACATTATGTGTACAGTATGTGTACAGTATGTGTACAGGATGTATACAGTATGTATACAGTATTGTACAGTATGTGTTCAGTATGTATACAGTATGTGTACAGTATGTGTACAGTATTATGCAGTATGTGTACAGTATGTGTATAGTATGTATACGGTATGTGTATAGTATGTATACAGTATGTATACAGTATGTGTACAGTATGTATACAGTATGTGTGCAGTATGTGTACAGTATGTGTACAGTATGTGTATAGTATGTATACAGTATGTGGACAGGATGTATACAGTATTGTACAGTATGTGTATAGTATGTATTCAGTATGTGTACAGTCTTGTACATTATGTGTACAGTATGTGTACAGTATGTATACAGCATGTGTAAGGTATGTGTACAGTATTATACAGTATGTGTGCAGTATGTGTACAGTATGTGTACAGTATGTGTATAGTATGTATTCAGTATGTGTACAGTCTTGTACATTATGTGTACAGTATGTGTACAGTATGTGTACAGTATACAGTATGTGTATAGTATGTATACAGTATGTATACAGTATGTGTAGAGTATGTATACAGTATGTGTATAGTATGTATACAGTATGTGTATAGTATGTATGCAGTATGTATACAGTATGTGTACAGTATTATACAGTATGTATACAGGATGTGTACAGTATTATACAGTATGTGTACAGTATTTATACAGTATGTGTACAGTCTTGTACATTATGTAAACAGGATGTGCAAAGTGTGTATACAGTATGTGTACAGTATGTGTACAATATGTGTACAGTATTGTACAGTATGTGTACAGTATGTATACAGTATGTGTATACAGTATGTGTACAGTCTTGTACATTATGTAAACAGTATGTGTACAGTATGTATACAGTATGTGTGCAGTATGTGTACAGTATGTGTACAGTATGTGTATAGTATGTATACAGTATGTATACAGTATGTGTACAGTATGTATACAGTATGTGTATAGTATGTGTACATTATGTGTACAGTATGTATACAGCATGTGTACAGTATTGTACAGTATGTTACAGTATGTATACAGTATATGTACAGTATGTATACAGTATGTATACAGTATTGTACAGTATGTGTACAGTATGTATACAGTATGTGTACAGTATGTGTACAGTATGTATACAGTATGTGTACAGTATGTGTACAGTATGTGTACAGTATGTGTACAGTATTATACAGTATGTGTACAGTATGTGTACAGTATGTGTACAGTATTATACAGTATGTATACAGTATGTGTACAGTATTGTACAGTATGTATACAGTATATGTACAGTATGTGCGTCCATCGCTTGAAGTTCTGATATATCTTACCTATCAGTCATATTGAGATAACATCAGCACGAGCATATAACACAATGTGGAGAATCGTACCTACAGCTGCAGAGCTTTGAATTTATTGTTACGACAGCGAAATAATGGCAAGGACTTTAGGTATGGATATATTTATCAAATAACTCACTGTTCAAGAAAGCAAATTAAATGGACAAACATTACAAGCAAGTATAGGTTAATTATACAGATACATCTATATGATAATTATTTCACATATCAAATGCAATGATCTTTTGTAGTTATATGAAGAAGATTTGTTCGGTAATGATCAAATCGTATAAACAATTTATCATAAAATGTACTTTTTTATTTTTGATCATGGTACTTTGCATATGTGGCCGCATTTTGCCATCCTCGATTAAGCACCTCTATATGTGTCATGATCAATTCGAAGGCTCAGTGTTTGCCACCTTGTTGCTCTGATGTACATCAAAAGAATCGCAAAGCAATGTAACGGTAAAATTGACAGGCTTTGAAGTCGGGCGTCTCTCCTTTGTAATCTTCAAAGGACAGGTATCAGTCAAGCGATTGGTCAGATTTATTTCCACGAAACAAATCGAAAAGCTAGCTGTGTCTCCATCGATTTCGTCATGACAAAATCCAGGGGTGCATATGCTGTCAGTAAGCAAGACCCCTTGGATTTCGATGATGGATTTTTTTATTCTATTGTACATGGTGTACGGAGTATAATCACGATCTCTACGATAAATCAACATGATCTGTTTCGATTATCTGATGGTACAGTAAACATGGCGAACCGCGAATTCCTGACTGTGCGAATTCAGTTCTTCCATCTAGATGCCAAAATTACTACCCGTAGCGTATAATACGTAAATTTCGTGTCTAAAAAATACTCAATTTAAACGAGCAAAGTAGACGTGATGTTTTTAATCAGGAGTATGAACAATATAGTCAGCCTCAGAAAATGCCATTCGGTGGATCTCAAAAATAAAAAAATGTTATAAAATGAAATATTTTGAAAGTTAATAATCCTAAGAAATGTACCAGTACGAATCTGAACGATACTTATACATTTAGTAGCTGCAAAAATGATACTACATGATAGTTCATCAATGGAGGTATACTCTAGGCTACTCACAGGTAACATCGTGTACTCACGTATTTGCGTTAACGGTAACTGTTTGTGGACATTATTTCACGATTTTAATTATAAAAAATATTGTTCACGTGATACATTAACTCACAATGTGCAACTGATACCTGACGTAAACTATGGCGATAATCAATATAATGCCAAATGGAAGTTAACTAATGTAGGTGGCCATATTTATTTCACCGTCCGTTTTTTAAGTATACATGTTTATTGAATACATTCTACATGTATTCATTGAATTATTTTAAAGACATTGAATGCTACAATAGAACATATTGTTTGACTGAAAGAAGCTTATTTGAATTTTTCTCCGTTTACTCATTAGAAAGTTATCTCGGAATACAATTTCTCTGACTTAGGAAATGCTATTTTTCAATAAAATACCATGTCTTGAAAACCAGGCAACAGGGAAATATGACAAAATTGATAAATGAAAATTCTCTTAAAAAAAAGAATTTCGGTTCGATAGCACCTTGAAATACTCTAAAGAAAAATAGGAAAAATTTAGAAATTTGTTTAATACATACAAGAGCAAAAGATCGGTGAAATAAATACGGCACCTACTGTACTAAAAGTAGCGAGTGTTCCAGGTAGATTCGGAGGAAAATCTATACAGATGTCAGAAAATTACTGAACAAGGGCTGCTCATTTGTTATAATTTGTTCATGATATATATTCTTAATCGTACATATATATGTGTATATGTACATGTATAGATAAATTGTTTTGTATATATTAGAAAATTATTTAGTTAAAGTATATTATTTATTGAGTATTGGTTATAACAGAAAAAGGGTTGAAATGCAATAAGCAAAACTCAGGTAAAAACTGTTGGTGGATGCATTATCAGTAGAAATAA